ATATATATATATATATATATATGTGTATGTATGTATATATATATATAAATGTTTGGCTTGCGATTTGAATCATATCAATAAAAATCTATATTTTGTTTTAGCTGATCAAAATTATGGATACGTAACTAATAAAGATAAGAAATGATATCTGCAGAAATTTGATTAATCAATAGGTTATTATCATCAATCATTGGTATGGTTTGAAATTATACGCATGAAGCTATAACAAAAAAATAATAAAATTATTGGCGTCCGATACTTGAAAGATGCGGATGTATTTTAATAAAATGTAGCTCGCGGCTATCACTTCGATCTGAAATTCGTAATCATATGAAAAGAGTGCGAAGTGTCTCATCAACTCATATATGATTTATTAGAAGTAAATTTTGTATTTAAAGAAAGTACAATATATCAACAGCATTGATAAAAAGTATTACATAAATTGTAATTTATGAGAAGAATTATTTATAGAATCTTTTATTTCTTGGAAAAGTTTTTTGTTCATCCAACTTTTAAAATTAATAATATTAAATGAATACAAAATTATATATAGACTAGAGAAGATATTTTAATAAGATACGGTAACAGCATCAAAAAAATAAGAGAGAAAAAAAAATTATTGTATAATTAAAAAAAATATAAGTCTATAGCATGGTTTTCTAATATATTAAATGTATTGGAAAATATAGTACTTTTTGTTGGTGCTGTGATACATAATTGCGTATTATCGAGTAAAACACACACATGCAATACATATATATACATATATTTTATAAATTATGTCTATAATTTATTAAATATATATTAAGTTCCCATATATATAATAAGTTCCCATATATAGCAACGATTTTTATAACATAATACATACAAATTTAATTTTATGCTAAAATTACGAACCAAACACACATTTTTTTAAATACTTAAGTTTTAATTTTAGAATTTTAAATAAATAGCAAATTATATATTAGGTGTACAACTTTGCTTCCGCCATTTTCCTATAGATGGCTTTAGCGGTAAGTGGTGGTCGAAAAAATAGATCATATAAATAGATCATAGACGTCATACAATAAACTTGGGCATCTGTCAACATAACCCCATAGAAACATTAGTCGATTTGTGTCTGCATCATAAAGTTATTCTCGATTGAAAATGTCA